TTCCGACATCGAGGGGCTGAGTGGCATGTGAAGAATGAGGAGGAAGATAAAGCAGCTGAACCTTATTTATCCAAGCAAGATACATGATTTCTACTGTAATATGAGACTTATGACCGTCTACCCGTAATGGGTGCAATGAATTGTAGTAGAGTTCATAGAAAAACCCATACAAAATGAAAAGGCGCTACTCTAGTATACTAGCCGGTAACGGGCCCCGTTACCTGTTTTACGCCAATCAACAGTCTAGAAATCAACAGGGTTTTCCAAAACTCGTAACGGGCCCCGTTACTGTTCAGGTCATGTTTACCAGAACGCGAAACGGGGCCCGTTCCATAATACGGTGATCCGTGCCACCCATGCAGAGCTCATTGCGTATAGGCAAGAGCCAATCATAGGTAACCAAAATGATTAGTTGACTTGACTCCAAGTCTGATCTCTCCTCGACTATCGCGTCACACACTTGTTTATCATCTTCAAATATCATTCTCGCCATGCCCACACATAACTCGTCATCGATGCTCCGAAGCGTGCCCACCACGTGACGGAACCCTGCTGTACCAATTACCCCGCGCATCAGGTCCTGATACACGATTTGATGGTCGGTGCCGTAAGAGATGCACTGCGTTTCCTGTTTTGACCAATCACCATATTGTCTCTTCTCTCCTGTGTCGTAGGTACAGTAATGACAGTTTGCTTCATGAGAGTGCAATATTGTTGGTTGCACAGATGCATCGGGACAACGGAAAAGTGAAGTGATTGCATATACTATTATAAAAGGGTATCATATCTCATCAACTCATTGCTTGCCTCTACTGTGCAATAACTCCAAAATGGAGATCAAGAAAACCCCATTAATAATCTGCAACAGCAAAAACTTTCCCTCTATGCCGCGGCCAGCTGAGTAATAATTCTCTCATCCATTCCCAATACACCTCCTGCGCCCATTTCCGCAATAATTGCAAATTATGAATAATCGTATAAATCCCCTTTGACTTGGACGTCTGGCCAAAATTCTCCTTATGCCAGAAAATAGTCTTTTCACCTTCTGAAGTCGTGATGATAAGATACCAATCATGCCCTTGGATGATAATACCGGGGAGAAATTCTGGTAATTTCCGCGTCTCATATGAATTGAACCCGGCTGTTTGTTCCAGAGAGGATACTGCCCCTGCGGCAAGGCGATGTAGCTGAAGAACCTTGCGGAGGAATTGCCAGTGGGCTGCCATCCATACTTCCATCTGAAGCCGAGCGTTGTCCCACCCTTCGCCTGTCTTTTTAGTCTCAATGCTGACTGCTATAGGGCGGTCGGATAGCGGCAATAGGTTAGTATGGTTGAACATGCCCATTGGTAAAACATTCATCAAAGCTAGGATAGTCTCGCGTATTTGCGCGGATCCGTCATGCTGCGGGTCGATATACATGCAGAAATCAACTTTCTTAGACGCTGATGTCGCTTGATAGTCTGGCAGGATCGACGCAGTGGTGCTGAATTGGTCAGTAAGACTAATTAAGTAGAATGCAAGACAAGAATCTCACCTGAGAAGAAAGTCGAAGAACTGGCTCGACTGAGGGCCCTGCAAAGGCCTCAACGCAGCTTTCAGCACAAGATGATGAACCTCGACATTCCAGCTCGCTTCTGAATGACCTCTTTCACTGCATTCACCCGCCTGATGGAGAATCGTCTGGATTACCTCGGGTGGCGGCGTATGGCCCAGATCGTCGCGGTCATCCGAGAAGAAGATATCTCTGGGAGGCTTTGCCTTTACCCACTCGAAGTTGTCGTAGACCTTGATATCCAGCTCGGTCATGCAAGTCCGTTGCGACGTTGGCAGAATTCCAAAACCGGATACGCTATCATCGATCTTTTGCAAAAGCGTTTTCAAGCTAGCAGGCTTATTTTGAAAGTCCTTAAGTTCTCTAGAATCCACACCTCTGGGATGAAATTTCAGCTCACGTAATTGCTTTGTTGGCGAAGAATACCCCGATGCAGCCGATGATGAAGCCAACGAGGTACCTGATTCACTCCTCGGAGCTTGGAGTTTCGGCGGTCGAGGGGTATCCAGAATATCGTCGTTGTCATCGTTCACATCCAGGGCATCAATTGCGCGGCGTTTAGATCTGCGGGAGCCCATGCTGCGGCTGCTCTGCGAAGGGTCTGGAGTCGGAGGATTTAGTCGCCGACGCTTTGCGGAATGTTTGTGTTTATCGTGTTGAGACTTTGTCACGGGTTCGATTCGTCGTAGCCAGGTTTGTATACGCTGGTCGAGTGACATTGCTTTGCATGGATTTCCGAACTCTTGTTTTGGTGTTTGGATATGCGTGATTTTGGATAGGATAGGTATTTTGGAGATTGGAGGATGGCGTCATGTTTGTTTTCTGCTTCTTACGTGGTTGGCCTGACAATAATCTTATCATTATCTTATCTTGAAGAATTGCGGGGGCCGCTGGCTGGATAAATTCCAGTAGGCAAATTCGACTTGGGGTTCAAAGCCACCAGCACATTTCTCAGCGAAATTAAATTACGGGCCACTTTCTAAGGCTCGAGTTAGTATTCCGAGCCCAACTTATTCAATTTTGATTAATATTGTAGTCGTGGCATGTCATCCAACACAGCGAAGATTGGACTCTCGATCGAGCGTCACATTTCCTATTACGGAATAGTGAAGTTTGTCTGTCAAGCGTTGCATTTCCTATTATGGATCAGTAGACTCCATCAGTAAGCTTAGTCATGCTTGCAGTGTCACATGCCAATGCTTAACCTAACCATAATTTGGGAACCCATAGTGGTTGAGTACCAGGCCCGCTCCACGCGGCTCAGGCTGGCAGTGTTGCAGCTGCATTAGCAACGGAAACTACCTAACAATGTAGGTAACTACTCCAAACGGATAGATCAGGCCCTACCAGGCAAACATACGTAAGCACTATATGATATTTGCAAGAGACGAGAAGCCGGAGTGCTCTCGCAGCTCTGCACGGGAATGGCGAAGATTAACAGCTACCTCAACAAGATCGGGGCCGCAGAGTCGGACATGTGTGGATATGGATATAGACCAGAGACAATGGAGCATTTTCTGTTCCGATGCATAAGATAGGAAGCAGAGCGTGAAGCCATGCGTCGAGTAGGACAAAACATGATAGGCAACCTTTCCTTCTTTCTAGGTGGAAAGTCGGCGTTAGACGGAGCAAAGTAGAGACCTAACCTGGAGGCGGTGCGAGCGACAGTCAAATTTGC